CAGTGTTTGAACTCTTTCCAATCTAATGGAAAGCTTGTATCCTCCAAAGTATATAACTTACTTAGGATTAAAGCTCCCTCTCATCGATGGATGGCTTTTGTTTGGAAAGATTATATCCCTCCCAAGTTTTCCTTCACTACTTGGTTGGCATTCCGAAACAGGCTAGCTACATGTGATAATCTTCATAGATTAGATGTAGTTAACATGTGTGTAATGTGCAAGGGTGGACCGGAAACGGCTTCACATCTATACTTTGAATGTCCATTTTCAAGGAGAAATTGGAGCTTGGTCAAGAATTGGATGGACATGCCGCGGCTTATGGGCACACTCTCAAACTCGGTCAAATGGATAAAGAAAGAGAGGAATGGAGCCACCATACAAGCTAAAGCTACACGGATTGCATTTTGATTCTCGGTTTACCACAATTGGAGAACTAGGAATGCTATCAAGTTTGATGGTGTTTCCCCCAAAGTTGAAGATATCTTTGCTCGAATTAAGTATATTGTCTACAAAATTTTGTATAGCATCTATCCACATGATTTGGTTGTTTTTTGACTATCATTAGCCCATCACCTTGTTTTTTGTGATCGGCTATATTTGTGTAGAGTGCTTAACCAGCCTCTCGGGTTTTCTTTTGAGGTGATGGGTTATCCAATCTTTGGATAGCCTCCAATTTTGCCCACCTTTTTGCTTGTACAGTTTAAAACTCTTTGGATGGTCACGTCAATATATACTTACTGTTCATCCAAAAAAATAGGAATCATTCCTTCCTTAGTAGTAAAAGGTGAAGGAGAAGAGGGGAGCTCTCGTGCACATGGGATTTCAGCTTTCAGTTCAAAATCGAAAATTCGCACCCCCCCTGCGCGGGCGACCTGCGGACACGAATGCTGCAGAATTTTGTGGGTCTCAAAAGACAATTTTGCCCCTCCTTTTTTTTGCACCTGGACAAAATATATATATTTTGTTTTCGCAAATGTCGAGCTTCCAAATCTCGAGATTGCAAATGTCGAGCTTCCAAGTCTCGAGATTGCAAATGTCGAGCTTCCAAATCTCGAGATTGCAAATGTCGAGCTTCCAAATCTCGAGATTGCAAATGTCGAGCTTCTAAGTCTCGAGATTGCAAATGTCGAGCTTCCAAATTTCGAGATTGCAAATGTCCAGCTTCCAAATCTCGAGATTGCAAATGTCGAGCTTCCAAATCTCGAGATTGCAAATGTCGAGCTTCCAAATCTCGAAATTGCAAATGTCGAGATTGCAAATCTCGAAATCTAAATGTCGAAATCTTGCAAAATCAAAACTTCGAGTTTTGAAAATCTTAAAACTGTTCCGAGTAGCTCTTCATCTCGAGATTCTCTTGTATAAATTTTGATTCGAAATCCTGTCAAACACCTGGACACATGTTGATCTCGAGATCTTGAGTATAGAGATCTCAATAGCCAAAAACTCGCGCAAATAAAAATATAAGATATACTGCTTGATCGTTTCGAGAACGCGATTCGAACAGTATAACTTTTACAATGTTTCAACCAAACAAGATTACACAACCTACAACTCAAAAATACAGATAAGAACACAAAGGTCGTTTCAGAAAACACTTAATTAAACTGAGTTTAGAGTATATGTGAATTGGTGTTTAAATGGGAAGAAAAAGGGGTGTATTTATAGGTATTTGGAGGTGGTTGGGTGTGATACGCGATCGGGTATATAGAATACCCGACCGGGTATCCTTAAACTGCTCGGAAGGTGCTGAAATCACATCCAACCCGACCGGGTTAGGTCAAAACCCGACCGGGTTGCGTATCAAATCGTATATTTTCAACGTTCTCTTGATCTTCGACACGTTCTTTTGTTCTCATCAACTCAACCTGACGGGGTTATGTACCAAACCGACCGGGTTTCGGCGCGTAGCTTCCTCTTGCCTTCATATGTCACTTCCAACCCGACCGGATTGTGTTCCAACCCGACCGGGTTTGATACCAGAATTTATTTTCACATTTCATCTTGCCTTCCTGTGGTACCTATAATATTCCCTTGCACCACTTATGGTACTTACAACAAAATACGCACTAAAACAACAAATTACAACCTACAAAATAAATCTAGAGAGTACATCACAAACTAAACTAAACAATTAAAAACAATAATCGAATAATACTAAAACAACAAGCTTATGCACTAGGAAATAGTGCATATCAACATGCTTGAGAAGTGCTTCGTATTTATGATGTATATATAACTCCATGAAATAAAATTTCTTTCATAATATAAATTAGAGCAAAATAGTAAACAAAATAATGTACTGCGTATATACTAAGAATGTTTTTACTTGGACTATAATTTGCTGGTCTAGTCTGATCTGTTTAAATCTGGTCTGGTAAATGTATGATCTCTTTGTATTTTATAACTACAGAAGTGTGATCTGGTCTGTTCTGGATTGTTTAAGTTTGGTCTGGTCTGATCTGTATAAGTTTGATCTGGTCTGATCTGGGACTGAAAACAGTCCGAGTAAAAACATCCTAAAGCAAGAGGACAATGTGTTATTTCACTAACTAAGATTAGTTTACCCTCATTCTGAAATTTTATATATTGGGTTGTAATATGACGATAGTGATATTTTTTTAATGATAATTAAACTAGACAATATATTAATCAAGTAAATCGTTCTGAATCAGACTTACAACAAAATCAGGAACCTGCTTATGTCTAATCTTAAGATCTGGACTAGAAACACATGCCCTAACCAAAGTATAGCGTTCATATATCTGAACTTGACACTGGTCTTACTTCTATTTAGAAATTTTTATTTAATAAAATAATGTAAAGTGAGTTTTTCCTTAATATATTCGGTTAAATACTAATTAGAAAATTTAATTTTAACTGTTAAGAAATAAACTTGACTAATACTGTTATCAATAATCAAAATGCTTATTGAAAATCTTTGTCATTCTCTCTAAAGAGTGTGGTCACTCCTCTTTCTTCCGTTGCCATGTGGCATTTCAAACTTTTTTTCAAACTACTAGGTAGTATATTTTTTATTTATAAGAAACAATCATTAAAATTACAGATTTTTAGGATCTTTTCAATAGTATTAATATTTTATATAAAAAATCAATAGAAAAATCTATTTTTTCTAAATATCTATTTTTAGCCATTTTATAATTTTATATATGCAATAATGGTGCTATACGAAATATCATACTATCCACGTTACTCTTTATTTAGCCAACTTTGACTCTTCTAGTTAAAGATTGTAAATTTTGATCCATTAATTTAAGTAATACTCCCCCTGTCCCGATTAAATATTGATGTTTGCTTTTGAATTGACATGATGTTTTAGGAGATCAATTAATAGAAAAAGAAATGTCTTTCATACATTTTATTTTTGGGAATAATTAATCATATCCAATCAAATGTAAAAAGTGGGTGGATAGTGAATGATAGTTTTTTTGAATATAAAGGATTAGATTTTATATTAAAATTGAGAAAAGATACAAGATAAAATCTAGATAGTCATGACAGATCTGATTGTTAAATATGAGAATAGAACTAAAATCAGTCACATCATACAAAGCAACATGATTCTCTAGACACGAAAAGCCTAAAACAATCGGGACTTAAATACCGTTTATCAAACATATGTCAGAAGTCCAAATTTATAAATGATAAGTCCGTATTTAGACACACATTTGATGCATGTTTAGATCGCATTTTAATGGTTTCCCTAATTATTTTGTGTCACAAGCCTCATTTTAGCTCAAGTCATAGTTACTGGGTGTTGGTTCGAGTTTTGTATTGTTTGGAGTCAAAATCAGTGATTTGATCCAAGCACCAGCGCTTGAGAAGCAATTGGGATGATTCGAGATGCATTTGAGAATGAATCGAGAGTTTTAGTGGTCACCGGGAGGTTTACGACGAAGTTTTGACGACAAGAGAGCTCTAGGAGTGGCTACGAGATCAAATGAAGACGAATAGAGCTTGAAAACGGCGTTCGTGATGACCTTCTGTCAATCGTTCAAGCATATCGTTTTGTAGAAAAATCCAAAGAACACAATTCAAGTTTCATATTAAAGCCAACTTCAATGGATACAAATTATATGAATACACCACTGCGAGAATATGAGAGGAAAAAGGTTAAAACAGAGGAAGAAGTCAGATGATCGCTGTTGCGATTTCAGAATGCGATCTTCCACCATTTTTTTCATATCTTTTGATTCGATGATTGAAATCCACTTTTGCAAGTTTTGGTTGATAGAGTACTTCATTATGTACAACTTTCATGAAGGAAGCATTATCAAATTCAGAAGGGAAGGAATGGACGTGTCTGGCCCTTAGGCACGAGCGTGCCTATAGAAGAAACGGGTTGCGACTCTCTGGAACCCAGGCACGGTCGTGCCTGACCCCGGAAATCCTATTCCAACTCGAATTGTATCTGTTTTTTTCTTATTTAAACAGATTGTGAACCCCTGTTTTAAGGGGGGACTTAGAGAGAAGCCTAGTGACGAAATTTCTTCTACTTTACCATCTTGTTTTTTAATTCTCTTGGATTATTTGTAAGTTCCTTATTTTTAATTAATGACAATTAATTATGTTCATCCCAATTCTATTGATTCTTCAATTATGAGTTGTGAATAATCTTAATTAGGGATTTGGGTTGATGAAGACGTTAATTATGATGTATGGCTAAATTCATGATGAATTAATTGCATAAATGTATTTAATTTGTGTTTGAATAATTGAATTGATATCTCTTGTAACCTAGAATGGCCGCTAGAAATACAATTATTTGTAGAATAAGTTAAGAGATATCTAATTGATTCTAAGACACCTTCACACACACTTAATCGTTCTCTAAGAGATTAGTAATGGTTAAGGGACCGCACGCTCGCTCATTTTGGCAATAATTTTAGAATCCTGTCGCATGAGAGATCAGGATGGTCCGGTGACACCCCCAAATTTTCCACCCAAAATAATACTTTGAAATAGAGATGAACTTTTATTTAATGATTAAAACTTCAAAAGTTGCAGCGGAAATTAATAAAAACTAAGTAAAAGGGGCATGTCACCGCTACATCCAATCCGTGAATGATTGGATGATGCTAAGGCTATCTACCAAAACACGAGTTTAACAAAAATCAAGATGTTCGAATCATAAGTAAATATTAAAGTTTATTTCTAGTGAACTACATAGTTTTCTTCTAATTCGCGCTCTCAAACATTGCAGCATCAAAATCAACATGATCACCTCCTGTTAAATACGAGCACAAGAAAAATAAAAGAAAACAACCATTAGCAATAATGCTAAGTAAGTTCCACCTAACCTTTTAAAATAATAATAAATAATATAAATAAAATTCGTACAACCTCATAAAATATTTTTCAACACTTTATAAACCATAAATCATAAGTAAACGATATCTATATAAAATCTCAATCACATAATTAACTCGTAAACCATAATAACACCAAAATTCTCCTCTTTTGAATTTCTCCCAAAATCACTTTGTATCTAACTTCCTAGTAATTTAGAAGGGCGGTGCTCAACACTTTGGTTGAGCCCGGTGGTCCGTTGTTATGTACGGCCACCCCGGAACTATCACCGGTACCACAACTGCTCCTTGGAAACGGAATCAACTACATTAAGTGTGCACACCCCCTAAAGGTATTCCAAGCCCTCCGGGTTAGTAAGTCGATCCGGGTAGCCGGGATGTTTTCTACCAACTACCCCACCTCAAAACCTGAATGATTAGGAGCTACTACTACCACTACTACTCAAAAGCCGGGATGTTTTCTACCGACCGACAATTCACCTCAAACCAACACAAACAAAAAATTGAGTAGTAGTAGACCTAACCATCCTCCACATTTTAAGGGACGTGGAAAACCAACACCACGGATTTCTCTCGTGATGCTCACCCTTTTATGAAAATTATTTATTTCTCTTTGTTTTCTCAAAATCAATCAAAGTTTATACTTCAAAATTTTCCTTTTTCATTAAAGTCCCACAAAGATAACAAATTACGTACTATTACAAAATCTTCCAAAATAACTCATATCAATAAACTAATATCTCAAATGCAATCCTTTTATATAATAATATTCAAATTCAGCACACATAAATTCAATTCACAAATAATCACACAAAAATATTTAAAAGAAATCACGAAGAAAAAGAACTAATTTCGGTTGACGTGAAACTTACCTTAAATCCCGATTCTCCTAATTCTCTTCTTCAGTTCCGGTCTCTAAATATTCACCTTTTTAATTAAGATGATATAATTAGTCACTTATTCTCTTTGTAATTATTTTACCTGATTTTCCCCTTTTATTCTATTATTTGAATCTATTATTATGAATAATTAATAATTCGAATATAGTTTATCTATTAATCACTTTTTATTAATCAAATTACCTTATTAATTCAGTCATTAATTACAATATTTGAATCCTAATATTAAATAAAATATCCGAATATAATTAACTACAACATCCAAATAATCACCATTAATTTACTCTACTTATAAATTATTATCTAATTACTTTATTTATATTAACCCATTAATTTATGAATTCAAATATTTTAAATATTTATATGAAGTCCGAATATCTAATAATTAATCATAAAAATTATTAATTGAATTAGTCCACTAATTACATAACTAAGTTATTTATTAAGTCTACATATAGTCAATTATTTATGCTAGCTAACCCAACCTTATTTTATTTTCCTTATTTTATTCCAACATTATTTTTAGTCCAAAATATTATTTTTCAATCTCAGTGATTTATTTATTTCACCATTAATATAAATATTTCCTTATTTAATTACTTAACTAGTTTTATATGGCCTAATTTAAATAAATAGACTAAGAGTCGACTTTATAAATTAATAACTGTCTATAACTATATTTTGGGTCTATATTTGACCTAGGTTGTCCAGATATCTATTTTATAATTATTTTCCATAATTATTCCTTTAATTTCATATATCTATTAACCGGTTCAATTACAATTAAATATACTAAATCTTTATTTTTATTAATTATAAATGGTCCATAAGGTTCTAGTTAGTCATATATTTATCCTAGTTTACTCCAATATTTATTTCATAATTATTTTCGTCATTTAGTTAATTATTTACTAAATGTGTATAAATTGGCCCAAATACAATTAAATCCATTAAAAATAGCTAAAAATATTTTTTTCAATTCTGATTGGTCCGAATACGTATATTTATACTAGGTATTTAATTTATATTTTTCCAGATTTTATTTATTTCATTTACGATTTTATTTTTAATTTTTATTGCAACTGGGCCGAACTGGCCCAATTTAATTTTTTCTGGCCCAATCCTGAAAAGACCCAAAAGACAGACCCCAGCAATTGCTGGGTCGTCTTCTTCCCCAGGTCGCCGGAAAAAAGGGAAAACAAGGGGGGGAGGTGTTACCTCGTCGGACGAGCGAAACGGCAGTGCTATTGGCTCCGTTTGGGACGGCGAATGTCGGTGGTGGGTTGGCGGCAGCTCCTCCCTCTTCTCCGTTTTCCGTCGAAAAGTTTTCCCCGGCGAAACTCCGGCGAGCTATTTCTCCCTACTCCGACGTCCGTTTTCCACGATTCTTTCTCCTTTGGATTCGTCTCACGAAGGGGAAGGTTTGAGGGGTGTTTTCAGGGCTTGTTTCTGGCTAAAACGGTGGGTCGAAAAAATATATATATATATATATATATACGTATATATGTATGTATATTTCGCAGGTTTGAATGAAGAAAACGCAGGTTTGACTTGCTATTTATAGGGAAAGGTGAGGGTTTCGGGCTGTGTTAGAGTTTGAGTTAAATTCAACTGGCTTCATACTTATCTCTTTAGTTTGCAGAATTGCAGTTTGTTTTGCCGGCCAAAACAAACTAAATTGACGGAGTTCCAACTCAAATAGGACTCTGAATGTAGCTCCCTCTTAGGCTTCGTTCGTACTATCCCCAATTGTGTAGTATGTTAGGAGTACGTAGGAGTATTCTATGTTACTAATTTAATAGTAGTACGTACATATATATAGTTTATCTAGTAGGAATATATATTAGTATTGAAAAAGTTAAGTTTGTAATTTTGTATTTTTGTACAAAAATTAATATATAACTTTTACTTCTTATGTCATATGTGCAATTGGTACTTGACACAAAATATTACTTCTTTTATCGGATCATTTTTATCTGATTAAAACGTCGTAAACGTGAAAATTTTATCTGATTGGAATGTTACAACTGTTGAATTTTTGTCTGACTCAAATAATTATTAAAATGTTATTTTCGTAATATTTTATCTGACTAAAAATTATTTTTATTTTTATTTAAATTTTTGAAGTGTCACATTCTACCCCCCTTAAAGGATGTTTCGTCCCGAAACATGAACTAAATTTTAAATAATCAAATTCTTAAGTATTACATTCTACCCCCCTTAAAGAGAGGTTACGTCCTCGTAACTAAAATTTTTACCTTAGTCAAATAACTCTGGATAGCGTTTGCGCATATCTTCCTCAGTCTCCCATGTGGCATTTTCGGCCAAGTGGTTAGACCACAACACCTTCACCATCTTAATCGCTTTTCTCCTAGTCTCGCGAGTCTTAGTATCCAAAATCTGGATCGGCCTCTCCTCATAAGTCAATGATTCATCCAACTCGACCACCTAAGAAAGTCGAGGTTAGATGCGATACTTTGATCTAATTATCATAAGGTTACGATTCGTACCTCGGGGCTAAGAATATGGGATTCGTCGTGGACATACTTCTTCAATTGGGAGATATGAAAAACATTGTGTACCTACGCATAACACACTTTAGTACTTTGAGAGAAGTTTAGTAAGGTATTCACTAACGATCGGTTATAGTATGTTATACCTTAGCCAACTCGGTGGGTAGAGCTAAACGATATGCCACTTTTCCCACTCGCTCGAGGATGTCATATGGGCCAATGAACCTCGGGCTTAGCTTTCCCTTCTTTCCAAATCTCATTACTCCCTTGGTCGGGGAGACTCTGAGTAGGACTTTCTCCCCTGCTTCGAATTCGGCTGGTTTCCTCCCCAAGTCTGCATAAGACTTCTGACGATCTTGTGCAGCTTTCATCCTTGCTTGAATCATCTTCACTTTGTCCATTGGAGGTAGTCCGGTCCTAGTACCACTTTATCCACCATATCGCTCCAGCATAATGGGCTTCTACACTTCTGACCGTATAAAGCCTCGTACGGAGCCATCTTGATGCTTGCATGGTAACTGTTGTTGTACGAGAACTCTATCAAGTCTAAATGTTCATCCCATGAACCCTGCAAGTCTAGTATGCAAGCTCTCAGCATATCTTCAAGTGTCTGGATAGTTCTCTCCGTCTGTCCGTCCGTCATGGGATGAAATGCAGTGCTTAGCTTTAGTTTGGTCCCCATAGCCGCTTGCAATTCCCTCCAGAATTGTGATAAGAAACGGGAGTCTCGGTCAGACACAATATCTCGAGGCACACCATGATATTTGACCACGTGTTGGATGTAAGCTCTAGCCAGCTTATCCATACTCCAAGTTTCATTCATGGGAATGAATCTCGCAGTTTTGGTAAGTCTATCGACGATCACCCAAATTTTGTCTTTTCCAGACTTTGTTAGGGGTAACCCTCCGACAAAGTCCATCGAGATCGAGTTCCATTTCCACGTTGGCACTTCTAAGGGTTGCATGAGTCCCTTGGGCTTGCATCTCTCAGCCTTGACTTTCTGGCAGTTAAGGCATCTGGCTACAAATTCTGCCACTTCTTTCTTCATTCGCGGCCACCAGAATTTCTTCTTTAAGTCTTTGTATAATTTATCCCCACCTGGGTGTACCGAATAAGGCGTGTTGTGTCCTTCTTCCATGATTTGCTTTTTGACGTGCTCACATTTCATAGGGACACACCACCTGCCTTTATAACGAATACTACCGTCATCATGCATCCTGAATGGTCCATTGATTCCGTCTATCATTCCGGACTTGACTCGCTCCAACTTCACGTCTCCAGGTTTCCCCGCTTTTATTTCTTCATAGAGTGATGGGGTAACGGTCATGGAACATAACTGTACCTCATTATCCACATCCCCGAATTCTCTCACTTCCAAACTCAGCTTTTGGAAGTCTCGCCATAGCTCGTTGGGTAGAATCCATGTTGCTCTACAAGAATGCATCGACTTACGGCTTAGAGCATCTGCCACGACATTAGCTTTTCCTTCATGGTATTGAATCACTAAGTCGTAATCTTTGACAAGTTCTAGCCATCGCCGTTGCCGCATATTGAGCTCCTTTTGCGTGAATATGTATTTGAGGCTCTTATGATCAGTGTAAACTTTGCATTGTGCCCCGTACAAGTAATGCCTCCAAAGTTTCAAGGCGAAAACCACCGCCGCTAGCTCTAGATCATGCGTAGGGTAGTTGACTTCGTGAGTCTTTAGTTGCCTTGATGCATAGGCCACCACCTTTCCATTTTGCATCAGAACGCAACCTAACCCTTTCAATGAAGCATCGCTGTAAATCTCAAACCCTTCTGTTCCGGATGGTAGGGTCAAGACGGGTGCGGTTGTCAACCTCCGCTTCAGCTCTTGGAAAGCTTCTTCACACTCGCTACTCCACAGGAATTTAGTGGTCTTCTTTGTGAGGTTGGTCAAAGGCCTTGCTACCTTTGAGAAATCTTTCACGAATCTTCGATAATACCCTGCCAAACCTAGGAAGCTTCGAACCTCCGTCACCGTGGTGGGTGCAGGCCAACCTATCACCGCTTCAATTTTTGATGGATCAACCGAGACACCTTCTTGGGTGATGATGTGGCCCAAGAATGCTACCTGATCCCTCCAGAAATCACACTTTGAGAGCTTGGCGTAGAGCTGATTGTCTCTCAAAGTCTGAAGTACGGTTCTGAGATGCTCCTCGTGATCACTAGGTGTCCTTGAATACACCAAAATGTCATCAATGAACACTACCACGAACAAGTCGAGGTAGGGTCGGAACACACGATTCATTAGGTCCATAAATACCGCAGGCGCATTAGTTAAGTCGAACGGCATTACAGTGAACTCATAATGTCCGTACCTCGTTCGAAATGCCGTTTTTTGAATGTCCCTCTCGGCAATCCTTACTTGATGATAACCGGATCTCAAGTCAATCTTGGAAAACGTACTTGCTCCTTTCAGCTGATCGAACAGATCGTCAATGCGCGGAAGTGGATATTTGTTTTTGATAGTTGCTTGATTCAGTTCCCGGTAATCAACACACAGCCTCAAGCTTCCATCTTTCTTCTTGAAAAATAACACCGGAGCACCCCAGGGTGAGCCACTCGGTTTCATATAACCCTTCTCCAGCAGATCTTGAAGTTGTTCCTTCAGTTCTTGCATCTCTTTTGGTGCCATTCGATAGGGTGCCTTCGAGATTGGTGCAATCCCGTTCATCAAATCAATGGAGAACTCCACTTCTCTCTCTGGAGGCATCCCCGGAATCTCTTCAGGGAACACGTCCGGGAATTCATTGACTACGGAAATTTGGTCAATGGTCTTCTCTTCCACCTTTGAGTCTTTGACTACGCACAAGTATGCTTCACATCCCTTCTGAACGTAACGCTTTATTTGTTGTATGGTTGCCAGCTTTACTCCCGGGGTGGTGGTCACAGCTTTGTAGGATATACTCTCTTCCAATTCGGGTCCTTCATGACTACCTTCTGCTCGCCACATAGAATTTTTGCTTTGTATCTTCCGAGCCATTCCATGCCAAGCACCACGTCTATGTCTTCTAGATCGAATTGAATCAAGTCTCCAGGGAGATTGGTGTCACTTATGAGTATGGGTACATTTGAGTACACATTCCCACAAGCCACAACTTTTTCAGCTGCCGTTTTTACATTCAATTCTATTCTAGTAGTGGGTTCTATTCCCAGTTTCTTAACAAAGCTTGAAGATATAAAACTATGAGAAGCACCAGAATCACAAAGAACATAAGCAGGCATGGAGTTCACTGGAAAGGTACCTGAAACCACGTCACAGGCATTAGCTTGAGCTTGATTCATCACGTAGATCTTGCCTTGGTTAAGGGTGTTGTTGTTGCCCTTGTGGTTTCCCCCATTCCCACGAGCGTTGTAGTTAGGATTCTCTGCACCTCCTGGCCTATTTCCTCCAGGATTGCCTCCCTTGTTGATTTGGCCCTGGTTCTGGGGAACCCTCCCTTTTCCCACGTGACACTCATATGCTCTATGGCCCATCCGGCCACAATCATAACATTTCACTGCATTGCCCGCACAATCGCGTCCAGGATGATTCTTTTGGCATAACTTGCAATGATAATATCGTTCACCCGTCGGACCTTTCCCTTGGAAGTTCCTTCCTCCTTGATTGCGATTACGATCATCTCCCCGCCATTGTGTTCGCTGTTCAGGGGGATTTGGTCTACCTCTCTTCTCCCTTGGTGGTTGGTCATCGTCGTCACCTCTTTTGTTCCTTTTGTAAGCATCACGTTGAAGTCGTTGCACCCTATAGTGAAGAGCAGCCTTCGTATAGGCTTCGTTCAACGTCAGGCATCCTAGCACACTTACAGCCTTCTGAGTGTCGAAATTCAGGCCATGGATAAATTTTCGGGCCTTGCTGTTCTCGTCTGGGACTAGAGCACGTGCGAACCGAGATAACGCCACAAACTTGGCGTAATAGTCCTGGACTGACATATCTCCTTGTTTGAGATACAAAAACTCCTTATATTTCTCTGCTTTGACATGTTCGGGATAAAATCTTTCCCTCATAGCCTCCTTAAATGACTCCCAAGAAAGATTTGGTTGCTGACGTAAGGCTGGTCCATCAGTGGCCCACCAGTTGTCGACCTCCTGATGCAAGTAGTAGGCGGCGATGTCAACTCGTTGTTCCGCCGGGCAGTTAACTGCCTCGAACAACTTATCAAAGGAGCGTATCCAATCTTCAAGGATGAGAGGATCCTCTTGACCTTGGTAACTCTGTGGATTCCGAGCTGCTACCCTCTTAGAGGCGTCATTGCTGGTTTGCTGGTTCTGGAGAAACGCGGTGCTTAATGTTTGAGCAAAATGTTGCATGGTCAGCGCCAGCTCAGCATTAGTTGGTGCTGTGGGGACTTCTCTCCTAGGCGGCATGTTCTAAAAGAAAAGTACTTAAGTGCTAAGGTATTGTCTAGTAATCAAGCTGCTATGCACATTAAATCATAACGTAATCCGACATACAAATGATCACATAAGTATTGGGAAATTTGTTCAACATATAGAAGCAATACAAAATCATCCTCACCGCGGCCCTAGAAAGGTCTTTCTTTAATCATTTTCATTTCCTAAATTTGATAAAAATATTTTGCAAGGATCTCCACTTGAAGGTATGATTCCCACGGTTTTCGTCAAAGATTTCGAACAACGAAGTTTCAGCACAAGGAGAAATTCCCAGTTAGTTGGACGAGCGCAAAGGCTCAATTAGGCACCAACCAGCTTAGACTGTTATCGTCTTTGTGACAGAATTTCTCCCTACAACCTATTACTTCGTGATCTAGTCTCTTCAGAAAACCTAAAGTCTCTGATACCAACTTGTGACACCCCCAAATTTTCCACCCAAAATAATACTTTGAAATAGAGATGAACTTTTATTTAATGATTAAAACTTCAAAAGTTGCAGCGGAAATTAATAAAAACTAAGTAAAAGGGGCATGTCACCGCCACATCCAATCCGTGAATGATTGGATGCTAAGGCTATCTACCAAAACACGAGTTTAACAAAAATCAAGATGTTCGAATCATAAGTAAATATTAAAGTTTATTTCTAGTGAACTACATAGTTGTCTTCTAATTCGCGCTCTCAAACATTGCAGCATCAAAATCAACATGATCACCTCTTGTTAAATACGAGCACAAGAAAAATAAAAGAAAACAACCATTAGCAATAATGCTAAGTAAGTTCCACCTAACCTTTTAAAATAATAATAAATAATATATATAAAATTCGTACAACCTCATAAAATATTTTTCAACACTTTATAAACCATAAATCATAAGTAAACGATATCTATATAAAATCCCAATCACATAATTAACTCGTAAACCATAATAACACCAAAATTCTCCTCTTTTGAATTTCTCCCAAAATCACTTTGTATCTAACTTCCTAGTAATTTAGAAGGGCGGTGCTCAACACTTTGGTTGAGCCCGGTGGTCCGTTGTTATGTACGGCCACCCCGGAACTATCACCGGTACCACAACTGCTCCTTGGAAACGGAAACAACTACTTTAAGTGTGCACACCCCCTAAAGGTATTCCAAGCCCTCCGGGTTAGTAAGTCGATCCGGGTAGCCGGGATGTTTTCTACCAACTACCCCACCTCAAAACCTGAATGATTAGGAGCTACTACTACCACTACTACTCAAAAGCCGGGATGTTTTCTACCGACCGACAATTCACCTCAAACCAACACAAACCAAAAATTGAGTAGTAGTAGACCTAACCATCCTCCACATTTTAAGGGACGTGGAAAACCAACACCACGGATTTCTCTCGTGATGCCCACCCTTTTATGAAAATTATTTATTTCTCTTTGTTTTTTCAAAATCAATCAAAGTTTATACTTCAAAAATTTCCTTTTTCATTAAACTCCCACAAAGATAACAAATTACGTACTATTACAAAATCTTCCAAAATAAATCATATCAACAAACTAATATCTCAAATGCAATCCTTTTATATAATAATATTCAAATTCAGCACACATAAATTCAAATCACAAATAATCACACAAAAATATTTAAAAGAAATCACGAAGAAAAAGAACTAATTTCGGTTGACGTGAAACTTACCTTAAATCCCGATGCTCCTAATTCTCTTCTTCAGTTCCGGTCTCTAAATATTCACATTTTTAATTAAGATGATATAATTAGTCACTTATTCTCTTTGTAATTATTTTACCCGATTTTCCCCTTTTATTCTATTATTCGAATCTATTATTATGAATAATTAATAATTCGAATATAGTTTATCTATTAATCACTTTTTATTAATCAAATTACCTTATTAATTCAGCCATTAATTACAATATTTGAATCCTAATATTAAATAAAATATCCGAATATAATTAACTACAACACCCAAATAATCACCATTAATTTACTCTACTTATAAATTATTATCTAATTACTTTTATTTTATTTTCCTTATTTTATTCCAACATTATTTTTAGTCCAGAATATTATTTTTCAATCTCAGTGATTTATTTATTTCACCATTAATATAAATATTTCCTTATTTAATTACTTGACTAGTTTTATATGGCCTAATTTAAATAAATAGACTAAGAGTCGAATTTATAAATTAATAACTGTCTATAACTATATTTTGGGTCTATATTTGACCTAGGTTGTCCAGATATCTATTTTATAATTATTTTCCATAATTATTCCTTTAATTTCATATATCTATTAACCGGTTCAATTACAATTAAATATACTAAATCTTTATTTTTATTAATTATAAATGGTCCATAAGGTTCTAGTTAGTCATATATTTATCCTAGTTTACTCCAATATTTATTTCATAATTATTTTCGTCATTTAGTTAATTATTTACTAAATGTGTATAAATTGGCCCAAATACAATTAAATCCATTAAAAATAGCTAAAAATATTTTTTTTTCAATTCTGATTGGTCCGAATACGTATATTTATACTAGGTATTTAATTTATATTTTTCCAGATTTTATTTATTTCATTTACGATTTTATTTTTAATGTTTATTGCAACTGGGCCGAACTGGCCCAATTTAATTTTTTTCTGGCCCAATCCTGAAAAGGCCCAAAAGACAGACCCCAGCAATTGCTGGGTCGTCTTCTTCCCCAGGTCGCCGGAAAAACGGGAAAACAAGGGGGGGAGGTGTTACCTCGTCGGACGAGCGAAACGGCAGTGCTATTGGCTCCGTTTGGGACGGCGAATGTCGGTGGTGGGTTGGCGGCAGCGGCAGCTCCTCCCTCTTCTCCGTTTTCCGTCGAAAATTTTTTCCCCGTCGAAACTCCGGCGAGCTATTTCTCCCTACTCCGACGTCCGTTTTCCACGATTCTTTCTCCTTTGGATTCGTCTCACGAAGGGGAAGGTTTGAGGGGTGTTTTCAGGGCTTGTTTCTAGCTAAAACGGTGGGTCGAAAATATATATATATATACACGTATATATGTATGTATATTTTGCAGGTTTGAATGAAGAAAACGCAGGTTTGGCTTGCTGCGCTATTTATAGGGAAAGGTGAGGGTTTCGGGCTGTGTTAGAGTTTGAGTTAAATTCAACTGACTTCATACTTATCTCTTTAGTTTGCAGAATTGCAGTTTGTTTTGCCGGCCAAAACAAACTAAATTGACGGAGTTCCAGCTCAAATAGGACTCTGAATGAAACTCCCTCTTAGGATTCGTTCGTACTATCCCCAATTGTACGTGTAGTATGTTAGGAGTACGTAGGATTATTCTATGTTATTAATTTAATAGTAGTACGTACATATATATAGTTTATCTAGTAGGAATATATATTAGTATTGAAAAAGTTAAGTTTGTATTTTTGTATTTTTGTACAAAAATTAATATATAACTTTTACTTCTTATGTCATATGTGCAATTGGTACTTGACACAAAATATTACTTCTTTTATCGGATCATTTTTATCTGATTAAAACGTCGTAAACGTGAAAATTTTATCTGATTGGAATGTTACAACTGTTGAATTTTTGTCTGACTCAAATAATTATTAAAATGTTATTTTCGTAATATTTTATCTGACTAAAAATTATTTTTATTTTTATTTAAATTTTTGAAGTGTCACAGGTCCCCTAAATTATTGTACTCTACGTTGCGAGAGCGGTAAAAACTTAGTAATGATTAGATAGGCTCAATTAAATTAATTGCATGTGATTAAGCCTGATCGGCCAAAAATCTGTTGCCTCGGATTCAATCCCTGTTCCCTTCCCCATTAATTAGAAATCCCCAAGCTTTATTTTATTCGTTTGCCAGCAATTTAATTTTCAATCAATCAAATCTCGCACAATTGCTTTATTTTATTTTCGTTTTAATGGCTGAATTTAGTTAATTCTTATTTCCCTTTTGTCCGTCCCTGTAATACCGTCCCCAATTATATTTAGCTTTATGTAAATAATTTATTGAACCTTATGAAATGGTTAATGAATTTACGGGGTTGTAAATTTTGTTGTTACTTTTGCGTGAATAGTAAATTGCACGTGGGGCCCACATCGGGAGCGGAGACCACCCTATATTTCCAAAACCACATATTATATTCATCTTGGGCTAGATAATATGTATATGGTGGTGGATATCTTAGTTGGGCCATAGAAAGGGCATAGTGTTGACCGGTTGGTCAAACAAGGCCCAATTGCCGGTATCGATAATTTATCGGATAACAGTCCGAAATGGGTTTCGGAGACCTCTAAATTAAAGTTGATGAATGTATATTCATTCTAAGGACTCATATGGGTTGAGAACGTGTGATATATTTTATTTGGCCCGATAAAATAAAATATAATTACAGCAGTCCGAGAAATACAACTTTCGAAGGCAATTTTACAGTTCGGAACTTATTGGGATGACCTCCCACATGAATGGGGGCCACCCCACGAAATTTTCAAACAAGGGGAGCTTGAATTAGTTCCAAAGAGTGGTTGAGCACATTTGAAAGGATGGGGGGACCATCTTGACATCCAAGGGACCCCTCTCACACTCATTTGGCCAATGAGACAAAAAGAGAACCCCTCCCCCCTTTCCTCATTATTGTACCTCGACTAAACCACCCAAAAGAGGAGGAAGAAGCACTGTAAACTCCATCTCCATTGTTGCAAGTCGAGCACAAGCAAGGTTGGTCCAAAGAGGAGGATTAAAGAAGGAAAAAGTTAGGAAAAGTGTGAAGGATTAATGTAATAACCTTATAATGACTTTCCCTCTACTTTTTATCTCATGATATGGCTTATATAGCATATGGAGGACCCCTAGGATTGTTCTACATGAATAGAAGTGTAGAATGAGGGGTTGGAAGGTAGTTCTAGGTCCAAGAACGGACTTAGAAGCCAAGGTGACTGGTTCGTCGGAAAATAACCTTTTAGAAGTTATTTGTATTGATATGGATTTTATGATGATAAAACCTTGTTAGGAACTTGTCTAAGGTGTTCCTAGATCTTTCACGGAGTTGAGAAAGTCGCCCGAGTAATCGCCGGAGCTAGACAAAGTTCACCGAAGTTTCGCCGGAGTTCAACCGAGAAAGGTAGAACTTCATAAAGCTCATTCAAGGTGAGTGGATGGCTTAATCTCTTTTAACTCTTGGGTTAAGTATAAGATTACCTAAACAAATGTTATAAGTGTTCATAATGATGTTTAAAGGAAATTAAGCATGCGATTAGTCAAAGTTATTTGGCTTATGTGAATGATATTACATGATTTTGCATGTGAAAAGTATAAAATGTGTATAAAAACATGTGTGATCTTTTGGATGGTTAAAATGGGATATTTGGGTTGTTTAAGACCCAATACATGTTGTATAAAAGTTTCGGATCGATCGAAGATCATCCGGGGGGGTCAATGGACCGTCGCCGTTGGGCAGACAGTAACCCGGTGCCGACCATAGGGCTGAACCGGCGCCGGTTAAGCTACTGCCCAGCCGGTCTGGGAATTTTTACACAGACCCGGCGCCGGGTAGGCTGCTGCCCCAATTTCTGTCTTCGCCAATAATGCGTATCGAGGCCCGGTTTGAGGGGGGATCAACCCTGGACATCCTATGTAAGTATATTGTGCATGGAATTGCATGGATTATGATGTTTAATTGTCAAGTTTGATATCTAATGATTAAGATCTAAGACGTGGTTTAGTCTTGATAAATATTTATGATGTAGGCCCTATCTAGATTGATATGAGGTAGATCACAGGGATACATATGGTGGAGGACCCAAGGACTTTAATGTCCTTAAAACTTATATGCATATGGTGGAGAACCCAAGGACTAAAGAGTCCTTGAAACTCGGAACATATATTTTGGTGGAGAACCCAAGGACTAAAGAGTTCTCAAAACTTATATGCGTATGGTGGAGAACCCGGGGACTAAAGAGTCCTCAAAACTCATATGTACATCGGTGGAGGACCCAAGGGCTAAAGAGTCCTCAAAACTCATGGTGGAGGACCCAAGGACTATAATGTCCTCAAAACTCATAGGTAAAACGGTGGAGGACCCAAGGACTCAAATGTCCTCAAAACTCATGATGGAGGACCCAAGGACTTTAATGTCCTTAAAACTCATATGTAAAGATGGTGTAGAACCAAGGACGACGGTGCTGTCCTCAAAACTCAGAATATGAATTGAGTAGGACCGGAAGGAGTCCTATACACTCATAGGTATATGGGTGGGTTGGGATTTGAGTCAAGGATATTGACTACTACTATTTTCCCAAATAAACAATGACCTACGAGTCGGGTATTTCCAAGTATATATATACTGCTATGTATTTTATAACTTGGGGGAAAGTACTATACGTGTATGTATCACCCTATGTTTGGGTCTTATACTTGAAATGTTAGTTACTCTACATTTAGCTTGCTACTCGCTCGATACTTGTACTGACCCGTTCGGGGGCCCCACCATTTTCAGGTTGAAGCTAGGACTTGCTACCTGCACCTTCTTACGGGTGAAGTCATTCAAGGAAGACGTGGTTCGTGTTTCCTTATTTCATTTCAAACTACCAAACATTTGCTCATGGATATTTGATTTACTATAAACTATTTTGGGCCTGTGAGCCCATATTTTGGCCGGTTGTGACCCATGCTTTACCGTTGAATATTTTCGTTATTCATTGGTTTAAATATGATGTTGATGTCACCATCAGATAGTTCGGATCGCTGCATCCATTGACCCAGTTAAGCCTAGAAATCCGCGTGGAAGACACAAGGCTGCAAATGATTTGTAGACAGATTTGGTTTTCGTCAAGAGTAATTAGCTAAAAAAACATTTAATACATAAAATGACTATAATAAAAAGGGAAAATTTCTAAAATAGGAGTAAAAAAGTTTAAATATTTCAAAATAGGACTGCCATGTTTTTATTTCCAAAATAGGAGTAAATACTGCCAAGTTTGGAAAATACTGACATGTTTAAAGTTTGGTACTGCCAAACATGACAGTAATTAGTCATATTTTGATAATAAAAATATGATAGTCCTATTTTGGAATATACAAACGTTTTTAATCCTATTTTGGGTAATTTCTCTATTTTGGGTAATATAAAAGTCATCCACTTCGAAGACATTATGTTGATTTAATTAGTTCCACTTTTCCTTCTCTATATAAAATGTCGTGTATACCCAATGTCATTTTTTACATTCTAAAAAGGACATTATACTTCGAAGGGAGTATAGCGAAGGAAAAATCAAACAATTTCGATAAACACTGAAACTAAAACGCCCTTTTTAAAAAAATAATTTGGATTTTTAAACAAATACTCCGTATTGTAGTGGAAAATAATATTTGTACACACTATTGTATACATATTGGGACAAAGATATTTTTTGTGAGCAATTAATTTTTTTAGAGTTTTTGTCACTTTTGGTCCTTCGAGTATTGTGTCAGTGATACTTTTGGTACATGACTTTTAATTTTTTCATTATTAGAGATATCTTTAGTCCTCTACTTACAAGTTTCCCGCATTTTGTCCTTAGATTATTACAAAATAGACACTTTTAATTCTTCTACTATGATTTTGACATAATAAGTGGAGAACTAAAAATGTTCCTATTGCAATAGTTAAAGGACCAAAAGTGTCACTTTTACAAAAGTCAAAGGACTAAATATGAAAAAATTTCGAAAACAGATACAAAAATGTCTTTCATACAATGTCAAGGACAAAAAATGGAAAAATTAAAAGTGGAATATCAAAAGTGCCACTGATATAATACAAGTGACAAAACCTCTTTTTTCTATGAACAGATTATACTGACAAAAAAAATAGTAGCTCACATACCTATGGCATGTACAGAAAATGTGTACAATAACAATTTTTTAAATTGATTTCTACACTTGGGGACAAGGATAAAGTTTTTATTTTTTAAGAGAATGAATGATGATGTGGGTAAACAGTGTTATAAGAAGGAAAAGTTGGGGGACCTATGGAGTTTGTTGGGATCAGGGAGAAAAGACAGGCAGGCAAAAGGAAAGAGGGCAGGCTTAGCTTTTATAGAATGGGGAAGCATAAAGGGAATGATGGGAAATTCCTGCCTGCATGCATTCCGATCCACAGCCGCTGTACTCCCAGCCGACGCAGAGAATGGAATGATGGATGGTACTTTCCCTTTCTTCC